TTCTGAATTTCATGGGCACGAGCTCTGCTTTGGGCCACGTTGTGTTTCATAAATATGTGATGGGGTATTGATGACGAATACAAGAGTTTTCCTCAGCACTAAAGGAACTGGTGGCGAGGGGAAAAAAACCCCAAAACCTCTCCAGCAGTGTAAATAGTTTTTAGCTTTTTTTTGAAAAAGCAAGTGGCTGGACATTTTTTCAGGCAGCAAGTTCAATGCCATTTTGCTGTGGTGGAGTTGTTGTATCTTCCTGCTGCATTTCCTTGGGTGTCTTGGTTTTGCAGATATGGTAGTGGAGAAGTTTTAAGCTCAAAGTCTTATTTGACCCTGTAATCTTAATATAATTTAATGATCAGCAGAACTATCTTTTGTCCCTGCATGAAGTGAGGAGCCTCCTGACTCCACACACTGGGTTTGATGCAAGGGACACCTTTCCATTCACTTATTTCTCATGACTATCACGGACATCAGAGCTGTTAATACACCATGCCTGGTGTAATCCAGGTTTTTTCTTCCCTCAGTTGTTTTTGCTCAGATTTTTCCATCAGTGTGCCCAAACAATGGTGGAGGAGCCTCTTCCTTCCGCGAGTGAAGGAGGATTTGGCCTCTGCTTCTCCAGTCTTGGAGTGTCCCAGTTTTGTTTGTTATTTATATCTACAAGTAAAAAACCATAGAAATATATAAATAAACCCCAGGATAGCTACATTCCTTATGAACAGGATTATCTTCCAAATTTTAGATGTCTAACTTTCAGACATTTGGGCTGGGCTGTCTGATGGTGGCATCAGAGAAATGCTGCCTGCTTTGCCCTGGCATGTAGCTGTGGGAGCTCTTGGTTGTTGGGAGAAGGCACTGCAGGATCTGCCTTTGAATGAAACCACAGCTGCATCAATAAATTTCTTGTGCTGGGATTGGTTTTCACGGGCTTTACTGAGAAACTCAGTTTTGGGGAAGATAAAACGCTTCATTTATAGCCATGTTACTGAATTTTGGTAACCCCTAAAAGTAAAACTCTTAAATGAATCACTTAATGAGGGCCATGGGAGAGAGAAAATTTTATGGTGGACAGATTTAATCTGGATTTACAAGTAGCTCAGCTTTTACGGTCTGTATTTCTTAAACTATTACCAGGAACCATGGTCTAACTCAATCCAGATGCGCACTAAAAACGTCAGAAGAGGAAAATCCTATTAAAAAGGAATGTGCTGGCATGTTTCAAGGGTCCAGGCCATGTTTCAGTGATTCACTTCGGGGTGAACCCCACGCACTGAGCCAGCAGTGAGGGGCAGCTTTGGTGTGCAGCCTCCCTGCCTGCACGTGGAGGAGCAGCGTGGATGTGCCTGGATGGGGGTGTTGGGACTCCCCAGCTCTGTCCCGGTCTGGAGCAGGGGGCTGCCGGCAGTGCAGGCAGGCAGCAGGTGGGCAGGTGGCTGGAGACAAACCCAGGGCCACGTGCAGGAAGGCTGTTGCTGGGCCTGAGCTGGGGGGCTGAAGCTGCTCTCTGAAACCACAGCGCCGGGCGAGCTGCCACCGAGGGCTCTCGAGGCGAGCGCCCGCAGCACGGCCTCCCTCCCCGGCCCCAGGGCTTCCTCTCCTTCGGCTCATAGGGCTGCTGCTGGGGTCTTGCTGGAGGGTTTTTTCTTACCTTCTTGTCAGCAGCACTCGGTCTGAATGACCTTTTCTTTTCTCCCCACCCCGCTGTACTTTAAAAAGTAGAAGGCCGCAGAGAGTTGTTGCAGAGGTGCTGGCAGAGCTGCTTTAGAGGTGTGAGTATGGAGCAGGATGAGGGAGATGCCAGCCTGGGGTCCAGATATGTGAGTGCAGGGACCTAAAGTGGCAGCAGAGAGTGCCTGGGCACAGGGGAGAGCAGGGTTACATTGCTGGGTGGGAGCAGAGAAGAGGAGGGGAGCAGAAGTCCAAGCTTTGGAAGGAGGAAATGTTGGGAAGAAACTTCTCAGCAGCAGAAGCACAGCTCGTGAAGGAATTCCAGATGTACTGGCAGGCAATTGGGATTGAGAAGGGCTGGCAACCTGGTCATGAAATGCAGCTCCACTTATTGACTCCATCTCCTTTCCTGCCATCTCATCTGCCACGGCTCTGCATATCCCTACGCAGGCTGTGTCAGCTCTCTGTACAAAGCTTTCCAGAGCTTCTCCTGCACAGACTCCTAAAAAAAAAAAAAAAAAAGTAATTACCAAATGCTGTAAGTTTAAGTTGCATAAGTTTATTTCTGTTTGTCCTTAACATCCACATGGTCTCCCAGGTCTCCCAGTAAATGTCATCCCTGCCATGTAACAGGCACTATAACTGTGCAGCTCCTTGCAGAGGAGCACGTGGCGAGCAAGAGTAAATGCAACCTTTCTAATCATTTTTCCTTCCCCCTTGACCAAGTGACCTCATCTTTGAGCCCTTGTGTGTTTGTTCACCTGGGAATCAACTTGTGCCTCTGCTGCTTTCAGATATCAGGAGACAGAGATGCTGTTTGACTGAGATACTTTTAAGCAGTAATTTGTCATCATTTCCCATGCAAGGTTCCCATTCCTTTCCAGCCTGTGACCTGACACAAGCCCTGCTCTGTGCCTATATTTAGACATCTTGCTTTAAAACCCTTCTGCATTTCACCGGACTGCTGAAATTTGGACTGGTAAAACACTGATATGTTACTATTGGAAAGATGCTGTGCAACTTCCAGTAGGCACTGGGTAATCTGTGAGGTTAAAAAAGTGAAATGTTTATGATTTGTGCTTTGCTCTGTGTGAGGCATCTGAGTGTGACTGCTCCCTCCAGCCTGGCAGGTTTGGCTCTGCCCAGCTCCAATCCCTTGCAGTGCTGCAGCCTTGGCCTCAGCCCCTCAAGCCACGGCTTAGGGCTGATGAGAGACAGAACATACATTTTGGTGGTGCCTAAGAGACCTGTTTGTGCATGTTGTGCAAATACTGGATAAGCAGTAACCTCTCCTCTAGCTATTTAAAAACCCAAACTGGTCCTGTTTACATGAATGGATGTTCACTGCTTTAACTGCTACTTGTTCACTATGCTTCCTATCTCTCTTAGACCTTTGTTTCAACAGGCTTTGTATCTTCTGTCTTTTTCTCTCTCACTTTCTACTCCAGAAACCTGTTTCAAAGTTTATTGTTTAGAAAGTGCTCTGTACTTTTCTTTCTTCTTTTTTTTTTCTTTTTCTTTTAAAGAATGCAGAAGTTAAACATATTAAGGAAAGAAATGACACGAACTAACAGATAGGGCGAGGGGAAGTAGCTTCAAGTTGTGCCAGGGAAGATTCAGGTTGGATATTAGGAAAAATTTCTTCACTGAAAGGGTGGTTAAGCATTGGAACAGGTTCCCAAGGGAGGAGGAACCATCCCTGGAAGTGTTCTGGACACATCCAGCTCAAGGCCAGGGAACACTGGGCAGACTGCTGCACTATGGAAAAGCAGCTGAATTACTGCTAGAAACAAATTGCCTCTGGGTGCTGCAGAGCTGTATTCCCTAATGCTGAATTTTACCTACCAAGTCAAATGCAATTCAGACTGATTTTATGTCGAACCAACTCTGGTGTAAAATATTGCCCTGTGAAGAAAAACTCTGGGAAGTTCACCTCAGCTTGTTTGTTGGTTTAACATACAATGTTGGGCAAATAACTTAATCTCTCTGTCTTTATTTGTCCCATGTATGTGAAATTCTATAATCCTGAAGAAATTGTTTACAAAGTGCTACGAACTATATTTTTTAAATAATAGAAAAAGAGGTGGGGAGAAGAGAAACCATCTAGGAATTTAATCCTATTTCCATGGATTTGTTTAAAAAAAATGAATGTGAACTCCTAGTTAATACAAGCAAACTTGAGCAGTGCAACAGGCCACCACCACTAACTATATCTCTGCTAAGGAGACTTTCCTCGTGGTGGTGTGTGTGTGTGACACCTGAATGTCACCTGTAAATTCCCTCTAAAGGAGCCATCAGGGTGACCCGAAGGGCTGGGGAGAAATCCCAGCCTGTGGAATGGAGCACTGGAGTAACTCAGCACTGGGTAGTTCAACTACCCTCCATCACCTGTGGTTAATAAGAATTGCCACGCTTTGTTCACCTTAGGAAGGAGATGAATCACACCTGTTCTTTTCAATTTATCTTCATCAAAGGGCTTCACAGGCTATTGATCATTTTTGTCTTTCTCTTTTTAACTCCCTTGAATTTTTTGCAAAAAGCACGACTCAGATTAATTACTAAGTAATTTTATTTTTTTTTTTAATAACAGCTTTTCCTTTTGGGGACGGACCCTGAGCTGCATATTGGATCTATAGTTAGTTAGGCTTTGATTTTTTTAACTATACTTTGTGAATTTGCTACGTGTTTACAAACTGATACAGGGGCAGTTTCATCAGTTTTAGCTGCTAAAACCCAACAGTGTTACTGTTTTGACATATAAATATATGCAACATGGACGAGTAAATGAACATCAAGATCTCAATTAGGGTAGTAGGAGATCTAAATAAAGCAGAGTAGTGATTTCAGCCTGAGTCTCCCACTGAATACAATAGTGTCAATCTCTCTTTACATTTAACACAAACCTTTTTTCCTAAGAAGCTCTTCCCTAAAACTTTTTTCCAAACAGATGTGTTTTCTCACACACACTCAAGAGTTAGTTGATAAAGGAATCCCCAAGCAGTAATGAATCCCTGCAGGAGATTCTTTTCAGAAATACAAAAGAAACCAGAAAATAGATGCTCTGTGTGAGGCTTTCTTGCAGTAACTGCAGTGTTAGCAATCCTTGGTCTAACTCACCCTGTTTAGAGAGAGGGTTGGACTTCCCGTGGTCCTTTTCTACCTGATTAATCCCGGGATTCTTATATTCTGAATTCCATCTCCTTTGCAAAGGGACATTTGCCCTCATATTGGTTACTTTTTCAAGTAGAGCTATGCAGCACTACCACATTTATGCCTTCAAGCACCCAGTGGTACCAACGGCCTTGTTTGTTGATGTATCTGATGTTTTTGTACAGATGCTACATCGGTTCTTGGACTGACAGATCCCAGACTCTGCTACTTACTGGATGGATTCCTCTTCCTCTACGCAGTCGTCATGACAGCGCTGTTTGTGAAAGCCAAGGTCAGTCTGACCAAACACAGATGGCTCTGCTGGTGCAAACTAGTTGGGCTGGTCTGGAAAGTGGGAGTGGAGAGCAAGCAAGTCTCTTAGAATGAGACATTTTTATTATTTTATTTTCTCTCTCCCTTTTTTTTTTTGTTTTGGTTTTTTGTTTGTTTGTTTTGATTTGGTTTTTGTTTGTTTGTTTGTTTGTTTGTTTTTAACTTGAGCAACCTGGGGAAAGCTCTTTCCAAAGGTTCATGAACGGAGAGGAAGAGTATATGAGAGTGTTTTGATGCTACAGTTATAGATGCCATCAGAGGTTCTGGATATTGTTCTTGGAAATGCCTGATCAAGTGCGATGTGGATATTTTCTGCTGCTTTGTCACTGAAAAGGGATATACAGAAAGTTCAGGATAGATGACAAGCTTGTGAAGGATGTATTAAAATGTCTCAATAATTCAGACATCTTTGATAGTATGAGCATGATGATGCAGATGATATAACCCAAACAACCACGGGAGAGGAGTTTGTAATTGCCACAAACACGATTCTACGCCCGAATGTAAACACAGCTAGAGAATTACTTTTAATAAAAATTTAACACGTGATAATAACTCAAGAAGGCTAAAGCAACACAGAATGTAGTTGGATGGGTTTTTAAAAAAAGACTAGAACACAGAGTAGCTGCTCTCAGTGACCTAAAACTGCCCCTTTTTACCATAAATAGTGTGAGCAGCTGAACCAGAGTAGCTACAGAAGGGAAATCCTTTACCCACTAGTTAGTCACCACTCATGCCACTGCGGTGGCACCACAGGTGCTGCTCCTGAGGGGAGCACAGCAGAACACCAGGAACTTTGCAGGCAGCACTTTTGCTGGAGGACTTGGGTGCCGGGAGCGCTTATGCTCGGCAGCAACCCCAGATACCCAATTTTCCTTAACACAGGCTGCAGCCATGATTTTATAGCCTGGGGGAGCTACTTTTGATGGCACAGGACCGTGGCAGGAACAGAATGGAGATACAAAATCTGAGGGGGGGAGTGCAGGGAACAAACCCAGGTGTCTTGAGCTGCGAACTGGTGTTATGTGCAAGTAAAATGACTTGACTGCTGAGAGCAACCTGGTGTGGGGATAAAAGTGCCAGTGCAGCAGTGGCTTGTACTGCCTGTAGCCCCATCAGTGCCATAGGGTTGCCCTGTTTCTGATGAGAGTAACTTGTAGGAGAGAGGGAATGAAAGGACTGAAGGGAGCCACTGTCTCTCTGCTCATGGTTTGGTCTCTCTTCCAGCTTAGACAGGCCTCTGAACCACAGCTGAGACCAGGCCAGGATGACACATACAATGTAAGTAACTGCTGGTCTTCGTTTCTAAATCTGTTACCCAGATAGACCTTTTTGGGCACTTATAAAATAGTGAGTTGCCTGTAGGTTAGAAAAACTTTGGATGATCCAGTTAAAGAGTAGGCTATACAAGAAGAAAGATAAAACCTCACAGGGGTAGTTTCTACTGTCACCAATCTGGCCAGATGGTAGATGGTTATTTGGGCTGTATGTTCCTGACTTGAAAGAGGACAGAGCTAAGATCCTGCCTGTCTTTCCTAATTAAATTGCTCACTCATGGCAGCATTAAACTCTAGCTAGTTTTGCTATGTCTAGTTGTCTTTTGATTTTAATTTTTTTTTTCTCAGGCTTTTGGCCATAGCCACATCCTGCTGAGAGTTCTGTTTAACTGTGTAATGTATGAACACCAATGCAATATTTTTCAGTTTAAGTGTAGCCTGTCACCTTTTGAGTAGCACTCTGTCAGCTGTGTTATGCTGACTTGAAATCCCTCCTTTGCCCTGCTCTAAGGTAACCGTTCCCAGCTGAGAATTGTGTTGGCCATAAAATTCCTGCAGCTTCTTGATGAAGATTTAGATGAACTGCTCTGCAAGAAAAACAAAGCTCAGGGATCTTCACTCTCCAGTGGCAGAGAAAGCAGGAAAGTCAGTCCCTCCTCCTCACAATCTCTGATTTTCAACTCATTTTTACTTAAGAAAGGTTCTTGATGCAGCAGCTTGTAGTTTTGTGCTGCACAGACCACTGTTTGTCATTTCCATTGCTTAGTTGTAGATATTTTTGTTGACAGTTGCAATAAGGAGTAAAATTAATTTCTAGCTCAGTTACAGTACTTGTGAACCAAGCTGGGTTCCCTTTCTTTCCTGTGTTAAGTCGAGATCTATTACCTCGTTATCACGTCCACGATAACGAGCTTCTTGCTTTCTTGTTTCAGAAGCTGACTCGTGGGCACCGAGACGACTACGACGTTCTGGGGGCGAAGCGAGGTGCAGACCCTGAGCTGGGCGGGAGACACCAGGTAACCTCCGCCCACACGTGCCCCTTCTTCCCTCTAATCTGGTGCCTTCCATCTCGCGTGTAACCGCGGCTCAGACGCGCAGGCACAAGTGCCTTCCTGGAGAGGGAACGACACGATCCGCGTCGTAACTGGGGAGTTGGCAGCGCGGGGGGAGAGGAGCAAACCTCCCCCTGCCCTTTGGTCTCTGCCCCCCCCCGGCACTTTGCTGAGAGCTTTTGCAGCCAGCCGGGGTAGGAAGTGACACCCAGCCCGGGGCGGATGCGGAGCAGGCGAGGCAGCAGTGGGTGTTCCACCGGAGCTCGCTGCATGTGCTGCTGCCAAACAAGCGCCCACAAAGTGGAGCAGTGGCCCAAACAATCGTTTCTGCTGCAGAGCCCGTCACTTTCAAAGGAAAAGGGAGGGAAAAACCTCCTGCATCAGCGTGTAAGGGCTTGCCCGCAGGTGACAGCGGCAGGGACTGAGCAGAGAAGAACTAAGTTTTACCAATTATTAAAAGGAAATCAGTTTTCCAGAGAACAAGTTGCCCGAAGAGAGCCTTGTGGGGGGAGTACAAGATGAGCTGTGATGGGCAGGGCAAGTCCACAGAGCCGTGGCTGTGCCATGGAGCAAATGCACAGGCACGTACAAAGTGGAGGGGGATGCTGGTGGTGCAGCTTGTGGGCAACATTCTTCTTTTGTTTTACAGCAGAGAAGAAAGAATCCCCAGGAAACTGTCTACAGTGTGAGTAGAGAGCGCTGGAGGGGTGGCTGGAAAAGGGAGTTTCTGTTTCATGGGAAACCTTTTCCCCCTCTACCCAGTTTCAGCTTTGGTTCAAATTTAACAGCTGCTTTCAAAGACTTCTCCTCTTACACAACAAATCCCCCCCAAGCCTTTTTTTTTTTTTTTTGGCTAGAAAATTTCTGCTCTCTTCTCTGTGATAAGAGAAAAACACTGACTGTCTGGGGAGATGTGGAAAAGAATTTGGATCACGACACCTGCTTATCCCTTCATGGTAGCCATTAGTGACTAACGAAGCTTTATCCCATGTCATCAGTGCTGCAGTATTTTATGTGCTTGTTCTCCAGCCTCTGTGACTGCTCTCTGGCAAAGGCCAAGTGCCAGTGCATCTAAGAGTGGCTGCTTAGGAACCTCTTAGGAAGCTCTTTAATTGATTTGACTTTAGCTAGATGTGGTGGTCTGTGCTCCAAAGGGTTGATACATTAATGTTAATGACCATGTCTTAACTCGGGTCTTTCTGGGTGTTCTTGCTGAGAAATGAGCTCGTTTCCAAGGCTGGCCTCCATCATTATTGAGTCAAACACTAATCACAGCTGGTTTGTAAGTGTTTGGGAACTGCTTCCCCAGATGGAGGAAGAAAGGAAGAGATCCTTTTTCTTAATCTTCACCCTGCAGTGTTAAGAATTCCCTTTTCTCTGGGCCTGAGGCTCATGGTCGGGTTTGTCTCCTGAACAAATGCTGCTTAAAGCTTTACTTTGGGGAGCTTTGGTTGTAGTGTCTGGCACTCATTTAGATAAATGACTTGGCTGAGAGCAGAGATATATTCAGGTGTTTGGAGATGAGGTGGTATTGATATGCTACACAGATTTCATCACATACAGCATCTATTTACATGCACATCAGACAAGTTGCACTGCTATCCCTTCTTCTCTGGAACAGACTGAAGTTTTGAAGGCAAAGCAGCCCCAGAAACAGAAGCTTGGAGTGTGGTCACCCAGGGGCTGGCTTGGCTTTTCTAGAAACAAGCTGACTCTTTCCCCCTCTCTGCTTGCAGGCACTGCAGAAGGACAAGATGGGTGAGGCATACAGTGAAATCGGAATGAAGGGAGAGGTGAGTTTTACTTTCCTTTCTGGTGAAATTTTTCCCAGTATGAAAAATCCTTCATTGCTACTCCCTTACGGAGCAGCCCCTTGCATGAGGCAGTGTCCTTGTTGCACAGCATTTACAGGCACAGCTGGGAGCTGTTTCCTGTAGTAACCAGTTCAGTGCAGCAGCAGGACAGACACGTAGCTCTGGTCTTAGAGAAGCCAGAAACCCAGGTGGAGATCAGGCAGCTTTGTCCCACTGGCATTACAAACACCAGGCGCCCTGGATAACGTCAGCAGAAAACATTCCAACTTTTGGACAGAAAACTCTGCTGGCTGCCCTGGCTGAGCGGGCAGAGGGCCTGAGATGGGTGAGGAGTAGCTGAAGGAGTGTCTGTTGTCAAGTGCTGCAATGTCTGTGGCCCAGCAACTCACAGCAGCTGAGCAGGTTCCTCCAGAGCAATTTGGAGCTGGAGGTTCACCGTTCCCCCCCCATGGGCTGCGGAGCCTGGATGGCATTACAGGCACAGGAAACCATGTGTGAGCTCCTCCTTGGGCCTGCCTTCAGATAAGGAATGGGGGACACATTCTCATTCCCCCAGCTCCCCTGCTCCCCTCTCAAACATTTAGGAAGGTACACACCAGTCGTATCTCCAGCTACAGCAAATGGACAAACTGCTCTGTGCACAAACTGCTGGGGGAGGGGAGCTTGTGTTGAAAACAAACCATCTGGGGACACTTGTTTATGGCAACATGAAAAATTGCTCTGACCTACAGAGGTTCTATATTATGTCAAAATGTCATATATATATATATATAACCTTTCATTTCCTCCTGAAACATGAAAAAAGGGGCATTTAAAAGCAAAGTTTAGTGCTGAGAAATGCTGAAGTAACACTGACATTTAATCCCCTCCCCTTTTATGTTCTGATGCCCCTTTGCCATAGTCAAGCTCTGTTCATGAGCTATTGGTCTATAAAGTTGCACTGTGTTTTTATGAATGTTTCTGTTCCTGGAGGGATGAGAACACCAAAACCCCTGTCCCATTCTAGATATATGATCATTTAAGAGGTTGCTGCAATTGTAACTGTAGCAGGCACTACTCCTTGCCACATGTTTTTGATAGTCTAATACTAAATAGTCAGTGTCTACAGGAATGCCTCCAAATCTCTATACATCCAATTAATCAAAGGAATAGCAGCACTGTAACAGTATGACAGGAAAATATGTCAGCAAACCAAAATAATTTCCTTTTACTTCCAATCCTATTATCTCCTTCAGAGCCCTTGCAGCATGTCTGGGCTGGTCCAGACTTAGCAGGTGTTTTCCCTTTTGTGAAGAGCAGGTCCAGGCCAAGCACAGCTGTCAACCCTCAGTACAGGACAGGGGAAGTCAGGGGGTTCTTTATTTTTGCATGATAAGGAAAAACGCCCATTAATCTGTGCTTGTTTTTCTTTCCCAAAGCAGCAGAGGCGGCGAGGCAAAGGCAATGAAGGTGTCTACCAGGTAGGCAACACGTCCAGCAGCTGCTCCCCTCATCTGTCTTCATGGGTTAATTGTAGCCTGTGGTTACATATCCAACTGCACTGTCAGTGGGATGTGATGGAACAGAGCTTTCAAAGCATCTTTCTGAGGGCAGTTACTGAGATTCAGGGCGAAGACCACACTGATGGCACTTTGATAAGTGGCTGCACATTCCAGATACACCTCCTGCCCTGGTAGGAACCATTTCCATGGCCCTACATCTTGGAGAAGCACGTTTTGACTGTGGCAGACGATGCAGAGTTCTGCCTCCAAACTGTTTATTGCTTAAATGGAAACCTTCAGGTTGCCAAGCAGCTGTTGTAACTCAAGGCATCAGTGGTTCAGGGCCCCTCACTATAGCACAGAGCACAGGCTGCTCAGCACCTCCAGTCCCTTGGTGCACTGGGGGGGTTCAGTGTTGCACACACCTGACAAAGGACAAGGAGTCCCTCAGTGAGGCCTTAGCTGGGTCACCATGTATAACTGTTCCAAAATGCATTTTACTTTCTGTAGAAGCCTGTACATTGCCACTGACGCCTCAAAATGACAAAAATACAATGCATATAAAAAAGTTCTTCAGGTTGCAGCACATGCCAGGGAGCTTTCCTGTAACATGGTGATTCTGTAGCTAAAGGCACCTTTCTTCAAGCCCAGCTCTACTGAGATATCACAGGAGCCTGATAAGCAGCACCAACCTCCCAGTGTTCTCAGTACACCACTAAATATTCATAGCAGGGAAGTGAAGGGTAGCTGGAAGTTTTACAAGCAGGCACCAGGTGTCTCACTAGATCCTCTCTGTTGGAAGCCCCAGTTCTCTCTGCTCTGGAAGGCTCCTGGGCTGACCTGCAACTCTGCTACATCTTCTACTGCCTTGCTCTTGGAGCAGCTGTTCCCATGGCTGCCACAGGGATCTGTAACACACAGGTCACAGCTGACTCACCAGAGCAGGCTGGCAGGCAAAGGATTCCTGGAGTGGCAGGAGGGACCATGAGGGGATGCTTCCCGGGGTTCACAGCCATCTGAAGCTCTGCTGCCAACTTACTTACCTAGAGCTGCATCTGACTTCCTTTCCAAATCAAAGAGAAGCCCAGAGAACAAAGTTCATGATTTGATGTCTTCATTTTGTTACCCTACTTCACTCTAGCATCAGTTAGGTCTTAATAATATGCGAATAAAATGCACTCTAAAGATCTTCATAACCAGTTAGGATGAGCTCCTGTAGTCATATGTTCATAAGAGTTATTCAAAATGTACCTTGCCTTTAGGCAAGTGATAGGTAGCTATTGGCACTGTACAAAATCTGTGGAATCACTCATTTTCTCTGCAGGGGAAAAAAAAATTAGAATTATGCTACGGAGCCCCTGCTGCCCTGTGGCTGGCCAGTCAGCACTGAGGCAAATTTTAGGGAGAACTCGTCTCTCACCTGTTTTTCTCTTTTTTAGGGACTCAGTGCAGCCACCAAGGACACTTACGATGCTCTTCAAATGCAGGCTTTGCCCCCCCGCTAAGTGGGAGCCACAGAGGGGATGGGCAAGAAGGAGAGATGCCCACAGGCTCTGGGGGGGAGAGGAGGAGAAGCCTTTTTCATCCCACACAAGCACTGTGTGTTTTCTCCGTGCAATAACCTGCTTTGGTTGGTGCACAGAGGGAGCGTGTCTGGAGTTGTCCAGTCCCTTCTCCCTTTCCTCCTGAATCATGCAACTGCAAGCTTTTGCTATTAAAATGTACATATCTGTAAAGTTGTTTCCAGTAATAGTGGTTATTAGGCTGATTTTCTTTTTTTTTTTTTTTGGTAAGGTTTGTGTTGTGGGACCAGACCACACCTTCTAACAAACACAGCTGTTTTCACAGCTCTTCCTTGCCTTGCAGGGGTATCACGACATGTAACTATTGTTTCATTCATTTAAACAACTTGTAAAGATAGGGCTGTAGTTATTTCCTGTGGTATTTATCTTAAGACTGACACTTTTTGCTTTTAATTTGCCTTTAAAAAACTGCTTCAGTTTTTAAAAAACTGCTCCAAATTACTTTTTTTCCCCTTTAATTGTAAAAAGTCACGTGATGTTAGTGCAGTGCAGGACAGAGGCTGACTGGCAACATTTCAACATGAAGAAATGAGCACCGAGCTCCCAGAAAAGATCAAGCAATGGCACTGCCACTCAGCCAGCACTTGGAGCTAAATATGAGCCAGGTAATCTGCATGAGAGACTTCTCAAAAGGCAGATGATGATGCCCCTGTTACAATGAAAACAAGGAGAATGGACTCCCATATATCACTTCTGGGCAACAGAAACTGTATAAAAGCCAACGTAAATCCAGTTTCCAAACCAGTCTATCATCAGGTTACCTCTAAAAGATACAGGTGTGATTCCAAAGAGGTTCTAGGTCAATAATGCAATGTGCTTTTGATGAATTAATAAAGGCAGTGGCAGCCCTGTGTGTGCAGGGAACAGCTGTGAGAAGGGCCTGAGCTCGTGACCTGCCACGTTCAGCCCGGCTGAACCGACCTGCACCCAGCAGCATCGTCTCCCAGGGAGGCTGAAGAGGACAATATTCCAACAGGAGCTTCTAAACACATCCTGAGCAGTGGGATGGGGTTTTGGTAAAATGCCCCAAGTCCAGTTATAAGAGGGGCACTCACCTCCTGCTGCTGCAGCCTCAGTTTTGCCTGTGACTTAAAAGGCTGCACAATGACACCTGCAAGAACTCAGCAAGGACAAAAACAGCCCAGCAAAACAAACCCTGTTTTACCTCGGGTCAGGAGCTGACCAGCTCATTCTGTCAGTCTTACAGAAGAAGCAGAGCTAAAGCAAGACTGTGGGAACAAAAGTTCTGCCCGGATGAAGTCATGTCTTCTTTTCAGGGACTGGGTGGGTTAGCAGCAGAAAAACTTGTTGAAGTTGCTGCTATGCAAGCGACAAGGTTGTTTTACATCTTCAGCTGTAAAACTGTACCTGCAGTAGGTGCTTGTAGCTTTTAAAGAATATTTCCAATAAATTAGAGCAAAAAAAAAAAGTAAACTGAGAGATGGTAACGAATGTTTCTTGGGGGGGGAAAAAAAATTCCTTGATCCCTTACTGTTCTTCTGCAATGACAAAAAAAATCTGAGAGAAGTGGGTGATACCTCAGCCACCTGACCTGAAAATTACAGTAAAGTTACTACTACAAAACACCAATGCAAGAACAAACAGTACTGAAAACAGCTTTCTCTTTTTAAATAATCACAACTGTATCTGCAAGATGTAGAAATCACAAGTTTTGGCAGCCATAAAATACCAATGACTTAACAATAGGAATGAAATTCTCTAGGGAAAAAAAATATCACCTTTATGCTCTTTATATATATATAAAAATGGGTATCTTGACTCAAAAGCATCCAACGCTTGTTTTAGGGACACTCACCGTAGGTGTGAGCTGAGTCTCCTCTTTGCCTTCAAGAAGCAACTGGAGATGTTTCTGCTTTTAGGAGAGGAGCTGATAAACAGAGAAGTAGAAGAAAAGCTTCAAGCAGAGTGCAAAAAACCCATTCTGTCTCCTTCAGTTTGAGACAAAGGGCACGAAGGACCAATCTTCTGGCCCACTTTGATCCATGGGGGAAAGGGGAATCCACCTCCCCTAATACATTCAAAAACTACAAACAAGTGCATACATGTTAAAACACTTGGAAAATGGTTTAATGATGTTTACAACAGAAATTAACTGTACAATTACAGTAAGTTTAATATATATAAAAAATTACAGCAGACAAATGCATCTACACAAAATCTACCTTTTCATTCTGATTTACTGTAATCTACACAATCTCTCAATGCCTACAGCTATCTGTAGGCAACCACTGGGAAAATAATAATAATAATATAATAATAATAATAATAATAATTATAAAGGACATCTTTAAAGAGACAGCATTTCGCCTTCCTCCTCACCCTTAGTGTGATCAGCAAGGTTTTGAAATGTGTGGGACTCTCACATTTCAGTCTCAAGAAAAGCTTGGGTTGGGTTTGGGTAGGGTGCTCCCATATGGCCCTTGATTTCAAGTGTTCTGCTGACCTCAAGTGTATAAATGCAGTGTATGAGGAAGGGCAAGAGAAAAAAAAAACCTCCCAGCCAGTGTAAGCAGGCAGCTGCACAGAGCAGTGAAACCATTAGGACCGAAAACTTGCCTTATTTAGGGAAAAAAAAAGCAAAAAGGGACTGCCCAGATGCTCCAGACATTCACAAATCCTCACCTCTTTGGAAACTATAACCGGATTCAGAAGAAAGGGCTTGGTTTTCCACTCTCAATTCTTCATACAAAGGGGTACTTTTCAAACTAACATGTTAAATAATTACTTTATTTTTAAAATAAAATTTAAGCAACTTCCTCTTTGGCCCATCCCTTAAAAACAGTGAAAACCCCTTTACACTGAGAAAGAACCTCAGGTCAATGGGGGAAAAAAAAAGAACATGCTGTCTCTTTAAAAACAAAGAAAGAATCCCAGTTGGGAGCGGCCATCAGTGAAAATGCAATCCAAATTGGCGGTCTGGTGGAAATTCCTCATGGAATATTATGTACAGTTTAAAAACCCTTTGCAGTTGGTTTTTTTTCTTTTTATTATTTATGAACACCTAGGCAGTGAAAACTGTTATGTTAATACATACATAGACACACCCAAAACATACAAAAATACTATTATTTCAAACTACTAAGAATAGGACAAGTTCAGTTATCTCCATGCTATGACTTTAAGAGCATTACACTGAAACAAACAAGAATTTAAACGACAATTTTTTAATATCCCAGAAATATACCAAAATATACATCTAAGCTTTGGAATTACTGAGGTTAGACTAATGCAAGTGCTGGGTAATCGTACTTAATACACAAGTCTAAGGTTCTGCAGGAAAGAAATTATCTTTGGTATCTGCATCAGGCTAATAATATTAACATTTGGATTTTGCTTTGGGATAGAGCTTGTATGACCCTAGAACCAAACACCCCCCAATCAACTGAGATTAAAAAGATCCATGTAAAAAGTTCCTCCATTTGCAATCCCCCCCCAAAAGTTAAAAAGTCACAGGCATCTACCTAGCATAAAAGGTTGAGAAATACAATGCATAGTTGCACAGTGGTGCTGCAAAAATAAAAAGAAATCTAGAAAAAAGGAACTAGAGGAGAAATGAAAAGCTGCTTCTTCTTCTTTCAGGGATTTCTCACAACAGGACAGCCTCTTCCAAGCAGTGAAGGGGGGGGGAAAGCTCAGAAGTGCACCTCAGCGTGTATTAATCAACATCACCCAGCCCCCAGAGGGTTAAAGCACCCAGCAGAGCAGCCAATCCTGCACCCAAGTCTTCAGCTCCTCAACCCACCTGCGAAGCCCCCCCCGGGCCGCCCCCTCCCAGCGCCTGCGCCCCAGATTTCACCCTGGAGCAGGGAATTTCTTCCTGGGGTGTTTCGGAGCCCCGGGCTGGGCAGAGACCCTTGCCCTGGCCAGACCGGCCTCACAGATGGGCTTGGTGCTGAAGACGCCCTTTGTCTTTGGTTTGTTTGTTTGTTTTGAGTTTATACAATCATTAGGAAATCTTTGGTTTTGGCTGGAAATTTTAAAAGAACAAAACAAAACAAAGAAACCGCCCCCTCCCGACTTATAGCAGCCACCGTGACCTGACAAAGCTTCTCTTTCCCATTGGGGGTAGGGGAACTACATTCAAATAAAGATGGACCGGGTTAAGGATGCAGCTTCTGGCCAGGTTGGGGAGTGGGGGAAGTGATACAGGATTGTCAAATAATAAAGAAGAAAATTAAATATTTGGAGATTTCTATTTTTTTTTCTTTGTTTTTTTTTTCTTTTTTTTGGTCATGTTAAAAAGTGAGTAGCATGTACGCAGCACTGGGCTGAGAGTGCCTCGGGGCCCTGGAGTTCAGTGTGGCCCCGGGGTGGGAAAAGGCAGCGCGGGTGGCCCTTTTCCGCAGAGAGTGGAGGGGAGGGGGTGGATATTCACAGACTAATCAAGAGGACCCCTTGTAACCAAAGGAAATAAGATAAGATTGCAATTTGCCCTCACTTTGCAGTAGCTTTTAAGCAGCGACATTCAGAGGCGTTAGGGGGTCACCTCCCCAGGTTGCAGGTCACGGGGTGCTATAGGCCAGAGTTCAGTGTTAATCAAAGGAGGGAGGGCAGACTTGGCAACTCTGTGGGGTTTGGAGAAAGTTAAAGCAAGTTACTCAGTTACGAGTTAGAAATGAGGTATACGACAGCTCCTGTACCTGTGGCGGATAAACACCCCACACCTACTCACACCTAGCCTTAGACACTACCACAGAGGAAGGAAATGGAACAACAGCACTGGCGGGGACGCAGAAGCTCCTGCCCAGGTCCTTCCCATGGGCCGCTGGCACACGAGGCGCCCCAGGGGCCTAGTGCTGCTCCAGCCCTCGCCAAGCCACCCGCGGGGGGCTCTGCAGCGGTCCCTTCCCTTCCCCGGCTTGCAGGGAGGCGCAGTCTGGCTCCCCGGGAACTCGCGGGGAGCGGCCCTGATCTCCAAGTCTTTCGCTTTGCGTTTCCCCCTCGGACTCGCTCAGGTGCCAGGAGCACCAGGGTCACGGAGGCCGACACATGCAGAGTGAATGGGGGAAGAACTAAAGGTTTTGTCTCAACTGCCTTGTTCTCAGGACACTGTCACGGGTGCTCTTGTTCCTAAATTGTTTCCCAAGGGGGTTGTGCGATCTCCATGATTTGCCCCTTGGCGTGCCATTCCCGAGCTCTCAGGATTCCTACTGTT